GAATAATGCTTTTAAACATGGTGAAAATGGGATATGTTCCTTCTAATTTTTATTTTCAGTGAGAATTGTTGCTGCATAACATTTAGAGAAGGTTGTGTAAATTATGGATGAATAATTTCAGAAACGATGTTTAATAGAGGAGAGGAGGGGGTTATGGAATAGTCATGGAATATGGAATACCTAAGATTCAGCTCTGTCTTTCATGCAGCCTTCACATGGAAATAAACAGGATTAAAGGATTTCACCATTAACATCTCATTACCATTAGTTATAGATTGTGCTGAAAATGATTTTGTGAATTCATATGTAAAACCAGTAGGGTTGTTTTAAAAAAAATATAAATTTTAGTCCATAATACATATACTCTTTTCTCTCTATATAGGCAAAGCATTTAGGTATTATATTTGAAATTAATTATTGCCACAACAGGCATTGTTGCTTCTAGTAAAATAGAAGAGAATAATTTTTAAAATTGGTCTTAGATTAAGGTCCTTGAAAATTTTGTTGAGGTCCTTGAAAAGTCCTGGAAAGTCCTTGAATTTCAATCTCATCATAGAGTGGGAACCCTGTATTTTTATAAACCCATTTAATATTTATTTTTTACAGGGACTTGAGTATGGTCGCTACTTAGCGCAAGTAGTTCAAACTCTTGAAGAAGACAAAGAATTCGCTAAACGATTGGAGAATATTACTACTGATCAAATAAGGGTAAAATATTTTGTTACTGAAATTCATAGTAAATGTTTCAAAAACTTTTTTTTTTGTAAAATAAGGATTCTATATATTTACATAGTGTTAAGTGTGCAAAAATTCTTATTGGTATTAACTATATTTATTACTGATGTTTTATGTTTAATTAGTTTAGGGAAATTAAATGAGTGTAAATAAAATTGAAAAATTATTAAAATTAATGTGAATTGAAAAATTAGGGAAATTGCATTTGAAATAGAAGATATTTTATAGCATTTAATTTTCGTATTAAAATTATTATTCAAATATTAAGTTTGCTTTATAAAATTAGTTATTGTCAAAATCTTAAACTTTTAAACGAATGTTTGTTTTATGGCCTTGGAAATTTGCATACTAATTGATTCACTATTAAGACTTTCAATCTTTATTTTTGCATTAAAATCCTTAAATTCTTTTATACTAGAAAAAAATTATTGCTCTCATTTTAATAGCCTTTCCTACATGACATTTTGATCAATTCAAATACATTCCATTCTTTGTAATACAAATAATATTTATAGTTTTATAAAACTCGCTATACTTGAAATAGTGGTGAAATTACCAACTATTGCCCTGTTAAATGGATACAATATTTTTAATGCAAATTGTGTGTCATTCTTTCTGTTAGATGTCTTATTGGCTGAACTGTTTTTCATCAAATTTTTAACTTTAATCATTTATTAATTCTTTTATTTTATTCCTCTTGGGTATTATATTTTAGTGTTTGATAAAGTAAGTTTTTATTAATGTTAGCTAAGTAAAACTATTTCACTTAATGCAGTCTAATAAAATTGATACACATTTAATTGTTTTTGACCATTACATATTTTAACAAATGTGTTTATCTTTTCAGAAGGTTGTATCTAATTTTCCTCTCTAATTATTTCAGTGCATAGTTTTAATAATTTATAAATGTTTTTTAATAGTAATAAAACTTTACAAATTTGTATCAGTATTTTAGAAATGTTTTAAAATCATTCTATTATTGTGTGGTCATTCTCATGACACTTTGACTCTTAATCACTAACTGAATTCAGGATAAATTCTGGTTATGTTTTTGCACATAAATATCTGTTTTTCCATGTTAAAGTAAAAGCAGTGCTTCTCTACATATTTGACATTCTGCATATTTGACAAAACCGTTAAGTAGCTTTGTTAATTTATTGATTTGATTTATCAAATTAATGCCTTAAAATCAATAGATTAGAATTTCCAGTATAATTATTAGTGCCAACATACATCAAATGAAAAAATGATAATTAATAATTAAATATATTAATTATTATGCATAAAGATCTTTCAACAATAGAAAGAAGTGCATATATTATTATTAGAGTGTATATATTTATTTTGCGTATATTATTATAGAGAGATATTGTGTATATTATTATGCATATATTATTATAGAGAGATAAAATTGGTTAAGCAACCTGATTAAGCCTTCCAATTGAGGCAACTAAGCAAATTCCAATGTTGAAATTTTTGGACATTTTCGAGACACCCTAATTTCTGCACTCTAGTTATAAGAATATTTATCAAATCCTCTTAACTATAGTTAAAAATAATCTGTTTTAATCAAGATATTCAAAGTTTATTAACTGGTTTCAATTCCTAAATTGAAACAACAAGCTAATTCAAATTCCTTGTCTAACTTATTTATCAGTCATGCATTTATAAAGCCTTCCAATCGATGACAACTAAACAAATTCAAATTTTAGAGGGTTTTTTTTTTTTTTTTTTTTTTTTTTTTTTTTTNTTTTTTTTTTTTTTTTTTTTTTTTTTTTTGAAACTTTCAAGACACCCTACATTAAAATTATTTGTTTTGTTTAGTGGTAAAATTATTGTTTAATTTAATGAATAATTTAAATGAGTAGAGACATTGATCCACATTGACTTTTAAATGGATATTCATTAAATAGAAACCAGAATGTAAGAACTAAGATTTATAGACATTATCAACTATTATTTCACACAATTCTGATTTATTTTACAGAGTGGGGCCATTGCTAAAGAGCTGGAATTCGTGAAGCACAACGTCAGGTCTAAATTGGATGAACTGAAGAGGATAGAAGTGGATCGCCTCCGTAAGCTCATTCAAGAACAAATGGAGCGCACTGAATTAGGTCTGTACCGTGATGGAGACGGTCATCTCCTGAATACTCCTGATGGTCGGCGGTGGAGAACTATTCCTAGCTATAAAGGTGGTTTAGATGGTGGTATTTGGTGTTGGGCATTTCTGTTTAGGTTGGCTTCTACCCCGTTTTTATTTATATCCCATCCCTTGTACCTTCTTTCTTCTTATGCTTGCAGCACCTCTCTCCCTCTGCAGTAGGATGACCATCGGAAATATATCTTTAATATAAAGATTCATTTATGCATAAGTTGTTCTTATCAAAGCATTTCATTTTGTGCTACTAATAAAAAATTTTACCTTGGTATGTATAAAAAAATTTGCATAGTTTAACTCCAAATAGTGTTAGTTCAATATTGATTAGTTAAGGAAGTGTTATTGATTTTTTACTAATTAAAAATTACTGAGACTGTGTTTTTTTTTTCTTCCAAATTAGGATTTTTTTTCTCCATTTCTTTTGTTCTTCATTATTGAAAAATTGGAATTGTTCACTAGGGACATGTAATAAAACTAATGTTTAATATATTTTTTCCCCTTCATAAGACTAATGTTTAATATATTTTTTCACCTTCATAAGACTAATGTTTAATATATTTTTTCAATTTCATGATACATAACTTCTTTTTACATGTTACTCCTTTCTTTGGTAAAGTAGTGAAACAAAGCATGATTTTTTTTTCCTAAAACATTTTAATGAAATTTAAAAAACTAATGTGTCTAAATTATAGTTAGTCAGTGAAGTTTATCTTTTATCATTGCAAAAGTCATTGGCAGATTTAGATATTCTTATTCCTTAAGAAGTTACTGTTCTATGACTGGATTATTAATCTTGATCTTAATTGGGTCTTTTCTAAAGCCATTTGAAAAACTGATTTGACATAGATGCCTGTTTATACAACCATATTTCTTATAATATCTCATAGCCAGAACCTGAGTTAGATTAATTTTAATTTAATTCTAAATTGCAGGTTTTATACCATTCTATTTAAATATAAAGGTATACACATTCAAAAGCCTAGTTTTATTTAAAATTAACATTTTTTGTCCATATAGTAAAAGTTAAAATAAATTTCAAAATTACTTTAAAACTTCCATTTTGAATAATTTTTTTATTTTGGAAAAAAAAATTATCTGAAACAACTCATTTCAGCAATTATATAAAAAATAACTATTTATATCTAGGTTATACAAAGATATAGCTTTTCTTATTCATTTAATATATAGATTTATTTAGCTTTTTTAATTTCTAATAATTTTGATCTCTTCTAAACCCTTATTAAAAATTAGTAAAAGCTAAAACACTCATTAATTTTTCTTTACATAATGTAAAAATTGCCATTCTACTGTAGTCTTTTTTATTTTTTCCTTAAATGGATGTTGATAATTTTTCAAATTAACATGAAAGCTTAGATACTAACAAACTAACCTTAATTTTTGTTATTGCATTTTATTTTAGTTAGATAAAGCATTTTATTTTGCTATGTTATTCCTTTATTTTTATTCACTAATATTTGTTCTGAGTTAAATGCTGATTACTTTCACAAGTTTTTATTTTTAATTAAAATACTTGTATTACGCTTTTGATCTTGTCACAATGTAGAATATGTTTAAATATATCTGAAATGACCACCTAATTTACAAATTATTCTCAATAGTCTGTCACAGCAATTTAATTCTTTCTATGCCACTTGCCAGTAGTTATTTTCTCACTTTGTTTGATTATTTCCCAATGATTTGCTCAGAATAACTATTTCCGTCTTATGCCTCAGAAAACAAGAGAAAAGTGGATCTATGTATTATAAATTTGCAATGAGATTTCAGGTGTACAAACTTGCCCTAATAATAGAAGTTTGGTCAAAACTTTGCTAGTGTTACAAGTTGGGAAATAATGTGTTGTTTTTCCTTCCGGAAAAACAGTTTCTCTCTTGTTATTCTTTCCATGATAATAAAAGGGCTCAACTCAATGTGAAAGTAATTGAGAAAATATTTATGTACGAACTTGCCCTAATAATAGAAGTTTAGTCAAAAACTTTACTAGTCTTACATGTTAAGAAATGATGAAAAATTTTCTTAACTTGAGCATTTAACTAACATTTCAAAGATTTAAAGGTAGACAAATATTTCTCTGCATCAATATTTTATATTAATTGTAAATGAATGTCTTTTGTTTGTTTTAGGTTTAGATAGGAAGAATGGAGTTAAAATACCAAAACATTTAGACATAGATAATCCTCACAGTTTTGAAATGGAGGATTTAAAGAAGCTCATTCAATCAGTAAGTTAATACATATTGGGATTTTCTATTTTTTTATTATGTGGTCTTATTGTCTAATATGTAATGATTGATAATTAAGTTGTAATTTCATTATCATAATTCTCTAACGCATAGTTTTTATTATATGAAAGACTGCCTTGTATGGTTTTTAATTTTTATAGAAACTGAGTATATGATGTTCAGGGTGCGTAGCGTTTTTAAAAAGTGCTTATTTTCGATTTTCGTTTCTTAGAAGCCCTTAAAGGTGCTTTTTTCATTGGATGTTTTTAAAAAATGCTTAATTTCCCTTTTCCAAAATGAGATTTTTCCTTTAACATGTTGATTTTCGCTACGAGTTATTGTCCACATTGTTCTTTCTATTCATCGTTTTCGCGATTAATTCAACCCCAATATATTTCTGCTTATCGTCAGTCAGTAGCGTTTGAAAACGCCATTCGATTTACATGATTAAAGAATTTTGACAATTGCCAAAAACAATGCCGAAAGTTTTTTTTTATATTGTGACATGACGGTTAAAATCAGATAAAAACCGCCAATCGTCAAAAACTTTCCAATCCTACCTAATTGTGTGGGTTTTTTTTTTAAGTGCTTAAAAATATTATTTGAGTGCTTGAAATGTGCTTATTTTTTGTTGAATAATTTGGCTACGCACCCTGATGTTATGATGCCAAATGATAATTTCCAGAAAATGTATTTATTTTTTGTTTTTACCTTACCTTAAGTTTTAATTTGATCTTAAATAAAATTCTTTTTGAAAGGCTACCACTGACTTGGAAGAAATAGATAGACAAAGAAGAGAAGAGTTTAAAACTTATGAGCTTGAGAAGGAGGCTGCCTACCGGGAAAGTTTGCAAAACCTGACATCAGAAGAGAAGAAGAAAGCTGAAGAGCATCACAAAGAATTGATCGAAAAACATAAAGATCACCCTAAAGTTCATCATCCTGTAAGTTTCTAATTGAATTCAAAGATGTCATAATTGTCTTGATTTTCAAAACACCTTGGAAAAAAATAGATAGCTTGCTATAAAATAAATCCTGAGATTTTTAATGGTTTTAAAACAGTTCTTGATTGGTTTCAAAAATACATAGGGGCCAATATTTTTTAAATCTAGAAGATACATAACTATAGAATAAAGTAATTTTAGTTTTTGTTTTACCATTTGAGTTTTTAACTACCTTTAAAATATGTAACTAATTAAGATTACCTTAAAATTGAAGAAAGCTTGTAGTCTTTTTAAATTGTTCTTAAGCTGCAGATGTAGAATTTCGCTAACCATGTAAACCATTTTTTTAAGAGTATAATATGGGTATGAGTTACTTACCAGTAAAAGTTTAAAATATTTTATATTTTAGCAGTTTTTCCAACCACTTTCATTTGACTAAAACATGCACCTATAATGACCATGTAGCCTGCTTTTTTTTTTTAACTGCTCTTATTGTTTAATGTCTGTAGTATGCACTTCATGTAGTTTTGACTAAACCAGTGTTAGTTCCGGAGCTGGTACTATCTCTTTAAACTTCCACCTCATTGTAGGACTTCCAAGAATTGCAAGACATTTTACCATGACTTGTTTAATGTGCATGTTGCAATGTAAACTTACCTAACCTCCTATACTAAACAGAGGACCTTTTAGCGGAGGTGTGTGTTCCAACCAACTAACCAGGGCATTAATTTGATTTATCATCTTTTCCAGCTCTACAGCCCTTGGTGGGCTCTGGCTTTCTGTATAATAGAGTTCCAAGACACTTTCTCCCCTTTCCCAGTTTTTTTTATTTTCATTTTTTTTTTATGTCTTCCTCAACATGCTCTAGCCTTCTTAGCTCTGGTCTTTCTCTTTTTTCTAAAGTTATATAATTTTTTTAGCTTTGATGCATCTTATGTTTAATATAGATCTGAAATAAATCCATACATTTACAATGTTCTTAATGTGGCTAGTGCAGCTTTATATTAACTATGGTAAATATTTAGGTAAAAGCAATTTTAAGTTAGGGTTGAAGTGAACTAAATAGTTTAATTGTTTTGCAATTTTCAGGGAAGCAAACCACAACTGGAACAGGTTTGGGAAGAACAAGATCATCTTCCAAAGGATGAATTCAATCTGCGTACATTTTTTGCAATGCATGGTAAAAATTTTAAATTTTATATTTAGTTGCTTATACAAAATAGATATATTGGATGCCCACTAAATGTGTAACCTGCCTTTAACTTTCAAATGCATTCACTTATGGTTATAAAAGTGGTGTCTAGGTATATTAAAGTGGTATAACTTCTAAGTCATGTAGGTAAAAAAAAAAACTTAAGGTTGTAATAATTACTCTTAAGATTCTTTCATAAATCATCCTATCACAGTGTCAAAAAAAAGTTTTTTCCTTTGTCGAATAAATTACCAATACCAATAAAATGCCCTTTTTTATCGAATATTCATAAGGTTTCTGTTTAAACTACTTTGATGATGTTCTACAACTTTGCAATTTATTTTTAAAATATCAATAATATATATATATTATTTTTATATCAAAAAAAGAAAGCTTATTCAACAGTTTTCCACCTGACAGTATTTAATCTAATTTAAAAGTTCTTTTTTCTTAGAAAAAAAAAATAAAATAAAAAATTAAAATCACTAAAAAAATGTTGACAAAATGCTGAAATAATAATTTTGGTAATTCTTTCAGAAAGACGCAGGCTGCATTTAATGGATGGAAAATGTTTAATATTTGCAACCTCCAGCCATTTGTATAGAGAGCACCACTTAAGATTCTTTGAAGAAATTAGAATTTTATATTTTTTACCCACCCTTACACCCTTATTTTCATCCTTTGTTTGTGGTGAACTGCACTACCAGTGAGATATATATATATATATATAAAAGAGGCAATTGCGAATAAAAAAACAGAAGATAAATTAAGAATTTGAGATTTATTAAGTTTCATTTAGCTGCGAATGCATAGAAACCCATAATATGAGATAAAAATAGAGGGAAAACAAGGAAAGAAAGAAAAAACGGGGGAGGGGGGGATATTTAGAGAAGGGAAGAAAAATCAAGATTATTAAAAATTAACCAGCTAAAATAATAAAATTTTGCCAGCTGATGATTATTTCTTTCAATTATATTTTCTAATTTTACTTAATTTAAATTTTTTTTTTTTATTCTTCCTAAAAAAAATTCTTTCTTTTCTTCCTTGTTTTCTTTGTAAGTTCATTTTACATGTATATATATGATAAAACTTCATAGTAACTATTTTGTGGTATTTAGATCTCAATGGAGATGGTCACTTAGATTATCAAGAAGTTGAAGCAGTTCTCATTCCTGAGGTAAACAAATTTTTAAAAATATATGTTTATTTATTTTTTAATATTTTTAATAAATAAATTTTTTGTTTTTTTTTATACAGTTTTTCACCTTTTTTTTATGTATAATGATTGTATAAAATAATCACAGTTAATTTGGCACACCCAAAAAAAATACTTATGCAGCCCGTGTTTTTATAATTTTGATTATTTTTGTGTGTTGCATCCTCACTTCATCTTCCAAACTGATTGAATAAAGAAAAATTAGTTATTAATTTTCATTTTAACAAATTTAAAAACTGAAATTTCAGTATTATTACCTTCAAAAAAATATTTTAACTTTTTTCAATTGAGTTTAACTTATTAATATTTATTTATTCTGAACTAAATAAATGTTCAAGCATAATACATGTTAAAACATATTATATTGCTGCTTTAATTTCGTTAAAATAAATTTGTTTAATAGGTAAGAAAGGTGTATAATCCTAACAATGAGGAAGATGATCCAGTTGAAATGATGGAAGACATGTATCGTATGAGAGAGCATATTTTTAATCAGGTATCTATCTGCTCTATTTTTCATTTTTAATTGGAACTTTAGAAATATTTATATTGGTTCTACATAGCTCGGCTCATTATTTCATTCTCTATTTCCTTTTTACTTTCATTACATTATTCTTAGTGAGTTACTAATTTTCTTTTATTTTTTTCCATCATATTTTCTTATATTTTTGTTGCAATTTTAATTCATTTCCTACTATTCAATTGGTTTCTTGAACAATTTTGATTTTTATCTTTAAAAAAATCAACCTGCATGATTAGCAATGTTTCGTAAGGCTCAAAAACTGTGAGATATTTCATTAAGTTTAATAATATATATTAAGTATTATTTTATATTAAGACATAATTTATGCTTACTTGTTAGCTGGTTATTCTGTTGTAATGATTCATTAACATTCAATAAAGATATTTTCCTGATATCTTCAATATTTTTATAAAAATATCTTTAACTTAAAGCAGCAATTTTTGAGGGAAATAAGAATGTGGACATGAATTTTAAAACTAGCTAATAAAATTTTAGAATTGTTTTATATTTCTGGCATTATATATTTCAAAGAACAATAAGTTTTAATTCAATTTTCATTTTTATTTAAATCAACTTGACGGATGTGATTAAAGTATGTCAATTCAGTTACATTTTTGTGTGCATTATTAAACACAAGATATATTTTTTTTTAGTCTGACCTATTTTTGTACCAAAAGTGTTTAAACGCAGCCATTTCAATAAATATTTTTTTTTACTGATCACTATTTTATTTTCCTGCTATTGTCATGGGTTCTGAAGACATCTATATCATATTAGTAATTCAAGTAGAATAAACACTTTCTGGTGAGAAATTTTTAAACTAAACAATGTGAAATGGTTAGTCATTTTTAACAGGTCAAATTTGACAGTAAATGGTTACTGTCAAATTTAACCTGTTAAAAATGTATAATTATTGCATCTGAGATTAATCATATGTTTTTATGATGAGTTAAATTTGCAAGTTATGTAAATGAAAGGTCAAAAAACTAGTTTTCAATTTAATGATTTGTCCAATGATGCTTATACATACCATTATTTTTTTGATATAATATATTTTTCATGCATAAAACTTTTTTTTTGTGTGTTTTAATGAATATAATTTAAGCATATTTCAAAGAAAATAAAACCTCATATTATGAAACTTCTATACTTGACCTGAAATATGTTAATCTATCCTCAGGGTGCGTAACGTTTTTGAAAAGTGCTTAAAGGTGCTTATTTTTGATTTTAATTTTTTAAAAGCCCTTAACCCACTGACGGTTCTGCGCGTAAAAAGTCGCATTTTAACCTGCAGTCTTCTCTGCATAGCAAAACCGGTTTTCCCATGTTAACTGATAGGGGAACTGTGTGTAGGGGAGAAACATTCTCCCAATTTTGCCCATTTCCTTAACCGCCAGTGGGTTAAAGGTGCTTTTTTTATTGGGTGTTTTTAAAAAGTGCTTACTTTTCCCTTTTTTCAAAATGAGATTTTTCCTTTACCATGTTGATTTTGCTATGAATTATGCAAAAAAAACAAAAAACAATTCACATTGTTCTATTCAACATTTTCACAATTAATTCAACCCCAATCTATTTTGGCATATTGCCAGTCTGTAGCGTACGAAAACGCCATTCGTTTTACATGATTCAAAATTTCATGATTTTTGACAATTGACCAGATGAAACAATGCCAAAAGTTTTTTTTTGACTTGAGGGTTAAAACAAGATAAAACCATCAATTGTCAAAAACTTTCCAACCCTGCTTAGTTATGATCTTTTTTAAAGTGCTTAAAAATATTTTTTTGAGTGCTTGAAAAGTGTTAAAAAGGTGCTTATTTTTTGTTGAATAATTTGGCTACGCACCCTGATCCTACCAATAACAGAAACCTTGCAGCAGGCACTACTGCTTAATTTTTGATTACAGATTTAAAGAGAAAAAATATATACTAGCACCAAAAGAAAAATATTTTTTTTAAATAAAAATTTCTAAAAGAAATATGGATTTATGATTTTGCAAATAAAAACAGTTTAATCAAAGCTGATTTTTCTCAACCAGCTTTTTATAGATTTTAACCATGATCAAATTTATTTTGTTAAGTATATGTATATAAATATACACTGGATTGATTTTTTTAAAAAATAAAATTAAATATCTTTTTAGAGTGATACAAATAAGGACCATCTTATAAGTCTTGCTGAATTCTTAAAGATGACTGAAGATGACAGCTTTGAGCAAGATGAAGGCTGGCAAGTAAGTAATAGATGAAAAGTCTTTCCTTCATTGGAAGTGCTAAGTTATTTTATAACTTTCTTGGATGAAATTTGCTTTTAAATTTATATTGCTTTTGATATTTGGTAATTAATGTTAGAACAAATGTAATATTAAAATTGGGAATATGTATACTTAATTTAATTTGTTACCTAATATATTCAGCATTTTATTTATATTTAAGAATTTTTCTTATCAAAACAGCTAATTAAAAAAAATATATTGGTTTTTGAAGCTATTGTAAAAATAGAAAATCTAATGAGTAACGTGCTAGCTTTATCAGTTTAGATTTATTTCCATTATTGAGCGCAATTCTTGTTAAAAGTATTTTTCTACTTCAAAAAACAAATTTTTTTTTCAAGTTTTTGCTAGTATAAAATACAAAATTCTCCCTGGGAACAAAAAAGGGCATAGTGTTTCCTCTCAGAAAAGGGCACTTCGAGTTTTTGAAGTTCAGTCATGTTTAAAATATATCAAAATATTTGCAATAACATTGAAAGTTTTCAGGAGACTGTGAATAATTTTTTGAATAATTTGAGTAATAATGATTTTCCTTTTAACTTTTGTAGTGTTAATTTTTTGATTAAGAAAATGATTGAAGAATACTAGATTTTTATTTCTTTTAACTGGGCGCAATTCAATTCTAAACTGAGCAGCCCCAGTTAAGCATTATATTAATTTGTTTCGTAATCTTACTTCTCTTTTTTTTTTTTTCATTCTGCGCATTTTAATAGAGGGTGTTGTTTTCTTTCGTTGTGTTTCCTTTGCATTTAGTTTGCTTGTGAAATCGCTGTTTGACCAGTTTAATGTGAGTTTTTATTTTCTCAAGTTTTTGTTTGAATTTCTTTTCTGAATTGGTTTTATGTATTTCATGTATTTTTTCCTGGACTTATACTAAACCTTCGGGGTACTGAGAGAGTTAATTTTGGCATTTAATTTGGCCTCTCTCTCAATAGAAAAGGTTTTGCTTTATGGCTTCCGAGGCCGGTACCCCCTGAAGACGTCGGCTTCGGTGGTCATATTTTTCTTTTCTTCGTTTTCTTTATTGCTATATTTATTCTTTCTTTTGAAAATTCTGCTGCTTTTAAGCCCGTTCCTTTCAAAGATAGTTTTGTCAATTTAGAATTAAATATTTTGTATCCTCTTATCCTATCTTATATTTATATTTGCCTCTGTAATTCTCACTCATTATCAAAATAACAGAAAAATTTAAAGGTTTTAAAATATAATTAAAGGCAAACTAAAAGACTATCACTGTATATAAATTTTCTTCAAAAGAAAATAAACTAAAAAAAAAGGAATTTTTTTTTTAATATTTTAAACTGAAAGTTATGGGAAAATTATATAACTAAAATGAAAGAATGAAATTAAAGTTAAATAATTATCAATAACTAAACAAATCTGAAATGGGCTTTTCATGAAAATTGGTGGTTAAAAAAACAACCTTTTTGTGAAAAAATGAAATAAAAAGGCAGTGTTCTTAAGGAATGGTGACTTATTTTTACAGATAGGCAAGGAGAGTAAATTATTAGAGATCAAAGAGCAGGCAGAGCAGACCATCCTTCTAAAAATGCTTATGGAGAACACTGTAAATTAATGTCTAATTACGAAAAGGAATGTTCCTATTTGCTCTATCTACTTTTTTTAATTGTACAGTACAGAACCCGTTATCCAGAAATCGGAAAACCAAAAAACCGGAACGAAATTCAATACATTTTCCCGCTATTTTTTTTTTTTTTTTCTTAATGTTTTTTTTTCTCATAAGATTTCAGGATTTTTCTTTCTTTTTTGAAAGATGTTTTCCTTACCATCATTTTGGAAATAATCATTAGTGTATTACTTCATCGTTTTTTCTTCTTTTTAAGATTAGTATTTACAAATATTTTTATTTTAGTTGGGTTTAACAATAAAAAAAAAACGGCTTTTTGTAACGATTCAGAAAACCGGAAAAATCAGTTATCCGGATGCGATGGTCCCGATCGTTCCGGATAATCGGTTCCCTACTGTATAAAATTAAATCAGCTTTCTATATTTCATAGTTTTATGTGCTATTTTAACTTTACCAGACTATTTTTGTAATGCCTACTATAAATAAGTTAGTACTGCTATTTATTATTCAAATGTCAAACTGCACTTCAAATTGCTTTCGAAATCAAATACTATTATAGCAAATTTTTGTTTCTGGTATGTTTTATCCTTGATTATTATGGTAGCTATATATCCCTTTTATATTATTCCAGGGCTTAGATGAGCAACAAGTCTATTCTGAGTCTGAACTTCAGGAATATATGAAGCAAAGAGCCATGGTAAGTCTTGTAACTAAGTCATTTAGATCTGATATATTTTTATACTTTATATTTTCAATGTTCTTTTATGTATAGCAACATCATGGAGACTCACGAATGTATTATGATGTTGGAAACGCCCCACAAGGTATGCCTCCACACATTAACTTTCAAGGTCATGCAGGTGCTCCTCCTCCTGGATATCCTCAACAACCTCAAGGNTTTGTTTTCAGTGTAATGACACCCCCACTGAAACCTCATCCACACATTAACTTTCAAGGTCATGCAGGTGCTCCTCCTCCTGGATATCCTCAACAACCTCAAGGATATCCTCAACAAGGTCACCCCCAACAGTTTCAACAAGGTTATCCCCAGCAAGGTCATCCCCAACAGTTTCAGCAAGGTCATCCCCAACAGTTTCAGCAAGGCCATCCCCAGCAATTTCAACAGGGCCAACCTCAACACTTCGAACAAGGCCAACCTCAACAATTTCAGCAGGGCCAACCTCAACATTTCCAACAAGGCCAACCTCAGCAATTTCAGCAAGGCCAACATCAGCAATTTCAGCAGGGCCAACATCAGCAATTTCAGCAGGGCCAACCTCAGCAATTTCCGCAAGGCCAACCTCAACAATTTCCGCAAGGCCAACCTTTACAGTTTCAACAAGGTCAACCTATAGTTCAACAAGGACAACCTCAACAGGTTCAGCAAGGCCAGCCTCAACAGTTTCAGCAGACTGGAAATAATGTGCAGCCTTCTAATCCTCAAGCAGCTACTGAGACACAAAAACCATCAGATCAACAGGTAAACTCTTCATTCTTATTTTATATGTAATTTTTCTATTATGCATATAAAATGTTTGTGTTTTGCACTCTTTTACTTAACTTTACTTTCTTATGTATGTAAGGATCGAATCTCCTGATCGATTTTCCGACTACTTGATATCCTAGAGCTATAAAATTTTTTACAGGTCTGTGTTCCCATTAAAAATATCATATTTTAATATGTCACCTAATCTTTAAAATTCAAAGAATTATTTTTTAAATTGAAACTTATTTGAACACTTACAGGAGTGATTGTATTCTGAGTGAACCCTGGAATGCTGAATTTTTTGTGTTATCCTTCCAGGTCTAAAAACTAGGAGAAGGGCGTGTGATTTCTACTTAAATTTCGTGGAATTCCGCGATTTTCAAGACCATTGATTTGTGGATCCGCTAATCAAAATTTATAATCCGACATAATTTTCACTACAACATAAAATTTAAAGTAAGAGTTCCAGAATCTAAAATTTAAATTTTGAAACTACATCTAAATCGCTTTAACAAAACATGCACATGATTCTTCCGCCAATTTGATTTATTTATTTTTTATTAAAAATCAAATATCCAAATTCATATTCACGCGATTTCAAAATCCAACATCGCAATTCTCTAGTTTTTCTTAAATAAGTTACTACAGAAGTAAGATATTCTTCATTGATAGGTAATTTAATTATAAATCTCCGTTCAAAAAATTATATTAAATATTTATAGTATGTAAATTAATGTAGGATCATATTTCTTATGCGTAACCAATCGAACTAAAGATAAAAGTGAACTAAGATTTATTAACAAGACTAAAATTTTATTCAGTTAATATCTTAAGAAATGAAAACAATTACAGATTAGGTTGCAATTTATTAGATGAATTTAATATTAGACTGACTCTTTAAATATATATGTATATCATTAGTGATGTACGCCAGTTATTTAATATGAATAATTTCTTAAAGCTATATTTCAAAATTCTAAAATTTATTTTGTTACACTTGTTGGATTGTTACAAAAATATTTGACAGTTTCTTATACGGCCAATTCACACTAGTTTGTTTAATACTGGATGAAGTGAAATTTTAATAGCTAACATAATAGCTCAGAAAAGAAAAAAAATTTCTACCTTATAAATTTTTGAAAATCCTAATCCTTGTCAAATTTAACTTATTTCAACAGTCACCATACCAAGATCAGCCTACAAAAGTTTTGCACCTTGTAATTTATGTAAGTTAGCCCTTTGATTAAAATTGTGCTTTTGTATGGGATAATCTAATAATTCCATCAAAACATATTAAGGTGTTCCACTTTTTTATTTTGCGCATTATTTGTTCCATTCTTTTAATATAGATACACACTGTACTTTCTTTTATTATAAGTGTGTTTTAGTACGACAAAATAATTGAACAAAATTATTTCAAAAGTTAAATATAGACATTGTAGAATTAATATTTTCTAGTTAAATTCAAACATTTGTAAGACATGAATTAATCATTTTCTTTCTTAAATTAATTTTAATCTTTTTTCCTTTGGTTTCGTAGAAATATAAAATTATTTTGCAATTTCATTTGTTTTCAAATAATTTTTTAATTTATGTAAATATATGTTATTAATGCAATAATTCTTATTACAGTTTGTTATATATTAACCTGGTAAGTTTTTAACTTGCATTAAAGTTGTCAGTTTTGTTCTATTTTTGAACATTTTGTTCAATTATTGTTTTACTATTAATTGAATATAATTAAAACGCATTAATATCTTGCAACATTATCAAAACCTATACATACAGCATAATCCTAATTTGGGTCTAAATGGTATTTTTCATGTTTGGTTCTTTACTAACCTAACAAAAGTGCTGAGTAAATCTCATGGTTGTGGCATTTAAAAACATGGAGAATTACTGAATATATTACTGCTTTATTTGATACTCTTTAGTTGATTTCTTATTTTTAAAATATATTCGAGATATCCTCATCATTATACTTCTTAGCGTTAAGTTATGCTTTGTAAAAATATGACCCTATTTTAATTATTGCTTTCCTTTCCTACCAAAATTATAAAGATTAAAAATTCAACATGTTTCAAGCACTTAAAAAAAACACCCATTCTGCACGTCTGGGCAGTACCTATTTTTGAGCTCTTAAAACATGTCTTATAATTCTTAAAGCAAATGAAGTTTTTACACTTTAAAGTATATCTTTCTGCTTCAATTTCTTTGGATTATTAATTTAATATTCAAACACTTGTTTTCAGTCTATGTAAGATTTTGCATGAAATGGCAAGTACGTAACGTGGGGCAGTGTTTTAAGATTTTTAAGCAATTCAGTTAAATGTGTTCACCAAATTTATTTCTTATAAGTTATCTAAAAAATGTATTTTTAATTTTTTTTAAGTATTATGTATTTTGTTATTTTACTATTTAAAGTTTGTTATCTTTGTGTGCAGGCTCACAAAACTGAAGGAAATACTGCTCAACCTGGAGCTCCTAGTGTTGCAGCTACTAAGCAACAAACATGAAGCTGAAAAGAACAGTTAAAAACAAAAAAATCAGATCAAAAAATATTAGTTTTACTATAAAAAAAAATATTGAATTACTTCAAAGAGACTGATTGGTATTTTTGACAAAAATATATTGATATTTTACTTAATTGCTAACTGTAATATCTTAAATTTAAAAGTTTTGTCTAAATGTTCATGCGTTGTTAAATGAATACCAGTATTATATATTCAATCTTAATATTTTGTTTGTAAAATTTTTACTCAGAACAAGTTTTTTAATAACATTGCATTGTTTTATTGAGATTTTTGAGACATTTTAATTCTGAACAATATTTATACTATTTTATAGTTTTAGTTGAAGTGTTTTATTAGATTTTTTAAAATACATTCCATTTGTATATAAATTTTGTCTGTATATTTTGTACATATAATGCTGCGATTGAATCATTATTTGAAAAATATAGACTGCTGATTTGTTAGTCACAAATTTTCCTTAAGTGTAACAAAAAAGAAATGTTTTATGTTTATAAATTTTCATTTTGCTGTTGCACTCTGTTACCTCCAGAATAAATGAGCACTTAAACTGTTTCTTATCATTTATTTTTGATATTTACAAATTTCTAATATGTTACTTCCTAATAAAAGCTATAGTATAGCAGAGAAATAGTAATAAATTAGAAAGAATTCTATGTAGCACAGAATTATTTAACTCATGGTTCGATGCAACATAATTAAAAATAATTAAGACTAAACTTAAAGAGTAGGGTAAGCATGCTAAAATAAGTACATTTTACTGGCATGAAAAAAAGAGAGACTTCTTACAATGGTTTAGCTAGGATTAAGTCTCAAATTGACAAATTTTTAACCATATGAGTATGTGAAATAAAAAATAAATTTTTTTTACTATTATTAAGTTTACATTGTTACCCATAATACTGTAGAACCTGTAGTTTTTTTTTTTTTTTTTTTTTAAGCAAACCAAATTAGAGACCAGATTATTCATGTAATTGAAAATAGTGAATCATTTATTATTTAATTTCTCAAGAACTAAACTAATTTCATTCAAATAATTACCACTTTAAAATGATGCAAACATTTGCATCCTTATTTGATACCTCCTTGTGCAACAGTTACTGGAGCACTAGGGAAGATTCTTGATTCAAAGACTTATTTTCTCAATTTGTGATGCAATGATCATGAGTAATCTCAACCATTGAAAATTAAAATTAACGAAACTTTTCACGTACCTAATAATAAAGAGATTTTTATAATTAAGACTCCCTCCAAAAGATTTTGAAAGGCACACAAAAAAATGAAATTGACAATAAGGGGTTCGTAACTTTCGACTGATTTTCTGACAAAACTAATAAGGCCATCCCAACTTTCCAGAAAGTAGTTAACCCCACAGTCAAGAATCCAAATCCATAAAAAAATCATGTCTTTATGATGTCTGATTTCCTAATTCATAGATAAAACAAATTTATTAACATGTTTGAAGTAATCTTTTTGACCTTAGATATTTAAAAGAAAAGGAAAGTTAGTCAATTTGCTCTTCGTTTAACGCATTCATTAATTTCATACTTTAGACTAATGGTAGAGGAATCTATATTTTAGCAATTTTCCACTGACTCGTGTCTACATAATCCTTTGCTTTAAAGTTCTGGTGTGGAATTTTATTATACCAAATTGATTGGTAAATGTTTCACATCATCTTGTAAAGCATGGTTGTAAAGCATCATCTTGTAAAGCATCAAAAATCTATCATGGTGAGAATATTGCCTGTTTGAACGAAGTACAGTGTTATGTTTATGTTATTGCTAAATATCTAGACGTGGCGAGAGAATAAACATTAGACTTCATATCTTCTTGCTTTAAATGCATCATTTAAACAAATTGAATGCTACTGACTTCAGTCAAGATGAACTTTAAAAAAAAAAATTGGATTCTTACTTATGTACGACCTTTAAATTTTGTGGGATCAAGAGTCATAGTGCTTTCTCTAAATATAAATGGCATTACCAGGTTATAACTCTTGATCCCACAAACACTGGAAAGCTAAATATAGCGTAGGGTTGAGTGGTGCCCACAAAATTCCAAGATCATACACAAGTCCAAAAAAAGTTTCTTAGAGAACGTGATAGGCATTACACACACTTCATTATAGCATTGAAGCAAAGGAATAAGCAGCCACGATTAAATAGGAAATCACTCAAGGGTAAAATAGTGCCACACAGCCGCAGCAAAACAACCGTGAGGATAAGAGTAAAAATTAGTTATAGGCACATTCTTTCGAATATACTGCTGTGAAATTTAAAATGCCATTAAGCCGTTTATAATTTTCAGCAAGCTTTATCATACTTTCAATCTAAATTCCAACAACTGTGCCAGAAGAGTAATTCAAATTAGTCTATATATGTAACCAAAACCAGAGATTCAGCACTTATGCTTGTCTTTTTTGTGGAGTCTTAGATAACTTAACTTTCACATAGTGGGCTCTGAAACGATTGACTGGACTAGCATCAATTGTTACATCATTTGTAACGAATTTACGCTCCTTTCCAATCTATCTGCTACACCACATTTCAGGATTTTAAGGCAAATTTTTGATGTGAGGGGCCTTTACAAAGCTAAATTCAATGACAATTTGAGGGTTTTTAATCGAATTTTGAAATAAGTCCTCGCAGAAGATTTGAAGAAAAAAAATTTTTTTTAATGTGCTTATAGATAGACCACTTGTCTGGTATTAAATTAACTTTAAAAGAAGTTGAATAATGAGACACCCTATTGTACATCTGAACTCCTGATTAACCACAGAAATGAATGGCCCATGAAGCATGGATAATACATAAAACACTTTTTAAATGAATTTAGTATCTATTTAATAATCAGTTTTCTTTTAGATATGTTTTATTTCTGTATGAAAAAGCCCGTCAACTTTTTTGCTCCTTGGTGTCGGAAAAGCAAAAGGCTAAAATAAAAGAGCACAGACTTCATACACTATTGAAAAAGAAAGAATGCACAAAACAAGGTTCGAAAACTGAATTAGTTATCATAGAGTTGCTGCGCATACACAATCTTAAGAAACTTATCCCTAACATAACTAAAAATAAACAACTGGTGAATATTCTGAAATCCTGCAAATGGGCCTTAAATTATTCAAAGTCCTGCTTTTTTCTTCAGGGGTGCTGCATAGGGACCAATCTCATTTATTAGTTATCAATTTTATAACTGTTAACAGCTCCAATAATGTGTTACTTGTTTACTAAACAAATAAATGATTGTAGCCAGACGAAAGAAAGACAAAAAAAACAATTTCTTGTTATAAATGCCATTGCTTAGAAAAAAATTAGTTAAATTCTGAAATCACAGAAGTTAAGGAGAAATGATTTTATTGTTTGAAAGAATGCCATAATCTTTAAGGAACAGGATAAAAACATTTTTTAAAACAAGACTGAATGAGGTTTCTGTTAAAAATTCCGATATTTGGAATATCTGGATTTGTAACAAAGTTATGAAATCGATAGAAGTACATACTAAAAGTTGAATTTTATTCATGCACAAGGATAGTTTTCTTAACTATACCATGTTAACCAAGTCCAATTTCAAGGAAAAACAAGCAATACTAATATCTAAGCACCGTAAATCATTCCACTTCACTTAATATTTTTAATTTATTGCAATTTTTTTAGGAAAATTTTAATAGGATAAAAACACAATTATGTTTTAAGAGATTTACTATCTCCAATCCAATGTTTTTAATATTAATCATCTGCAAAACATAATTTTAAAAAAAGTCAAAAGCTATTTTTCAAAGGTATCAACAGTCCTATGGCCAGAAAATTGATAGAGCTCCTTAATTATCAAATACTGATTAATCATTTATAGGTATTTGTGATACTTCTTTATCTAATTTTATTTTAATAAGACATTAACAAAAAGTTTGGGATTCTTTGAGATTAATATTTATGCAACAATTTGCTTATCCTTAGCTTGCATTACAACAATATATTATAGTTATGAGATATTTTAACTTTCTTGTTAGGAGCAAATCTTGCATTCTTATTCAGCACTCCGAAACAAACATTCACACACATCCCTTGTCTCTGTAAAAGGCACTACCCTCAATGCATGGCTCAATGATGAGAGAAATTTAATATTCCAGTGATAAAAGAACTGAAAAAATTGTTTCTATTAAGTATAATGATGCTGAAAATTTAAGGACTTTCAATATCAACAAGAACAGAGAGTTAATTTTTTCAGCACTTTGGCTCTCGTCTGGGTCCCAGTGACAATTTAAGAAACTATAATGTTTCGATTTTTAATCTCAACTCCAGACAGTTTCCAGGGCTGCTTAAAAGGCCCTTCTAAGCATTGCAATCTAAATTAATAAAGAAGGGGCTCCACAAAGACGAAATAAGTCTAAAATGCCGCATCTTCTAACTTAAAAATAAAGTATTTCAAAATATTGTGCATATCAAAAATGATAGTACTCAATAAATTTTAGCCTAACCAGTTGTCCAGACTACCCTGTTAAGTATGATTTAATCAGATAAAAAGTACCTCTATATATCAAAATAGAATAAAAAACTTCAATGCAAAACTAAAGTTAATTGAATAAATTATTAACATTACAAAAAGATTAACATTAGCTATTAAAAATTAAGATCACATGAATCGGCAACAAACAAAAGTGAGAATAAATGACAGACAACTTTAACAATGAATTATTTAATTACTAAATGACGGAAGACAATGATACATATGATGATATTGAAATGAAAATGACATTGTTCCACGTGAAAAATTATCCTTGCTGGCATATTTTACAAAATTAGTTAACACGTTAAAAAAATTAATGAGAAATGTGACAGTATGAAAAAAACATCACTGAAGAAATTGTATCAAAACGGAATATAATAAAAAGGATTGCAAAATAAATGCATAAATTGAAAATTCGTGAAATAGTTCAGACTGTGCACAACCCAAAGCATATGCTTTTCTTGAACCAAAATCAGCAGATTCATCTACAAAATAAACTTACACTGTAAAATGTACACACAATGTTAACCTGCTTATGCACTAGCTTCAACAGCTGGCACAGCTTCTTCAATTGGCTTTTCAGCTTCTTTTTCAACATTTTCATCTAATTTCTTCTTTTTAGGACTAGTTTCAACAGCGTCTTTCTCATCCTCTGCTTTTCGTTTCACTCCATTTTCTTCTGAGGCAACTTCCATTTTCTCTTTACCATTTGCCTCTTCCGATGGTTTTTCAGCTTCGGCAGGCTTCTCTTCCTCTTTTGTTTCTTCAACAACCTCTTCTTTCTTTTCTTCAGCTTCTTTTTCTTCCACCTTTTCTTCTACTGGTGCAGCTTAAAAAAAATAAAAAAGAGATTGAGCAAGTGACATTTGAATGCACAAGTGCTTAGCAAGCATTTTCAAATATCCATATTAAAAATTTGGAATTTTCTCTTTTTTTTTTACATTAGACAGGTGGCAAGCCAATAACATAGTAATAAAATTAAGCCTCATTTTAAGTAAATGTAAAAAAAACACATTTATTAATATTCTACTTTTTAACAGTCTTAGATGGCTAACTAAGTTGGATTGGAACAAAATTTTATGACCTAGCCTCCTAATGTTTACATAATAGCTAAGTATTACCCTTGATGCAGATTCCACGATTTTTTATTCATAACAAAATTGGTGAAGTCTGCATGACTAGTGAGGCTAAAGAGTTATTTCTGAAGACCAAAAAATTTAATGTGTCACTTCAGGTAGCTAATATAAAAAATACTTACTAATTAACCACATTATACAACACAATATATAATGCTTAGTTCACAATTTTTAACTATCAGGCATGAAAGTGGCCAAAAATAAAAAATTTTGAACTTTTACAAAGCAGGTCACTGGGAGGACGGGGGGGGGGGGCTCTATATGATACTGAGATTTATAAAAGCAACTTTTAACTATGCTGGGAGTATAAGTAGCAGAAGCATTTAGACAGTTAACTTCAAATTTTTCTTAAATAGAATTTTAAACTTTTGACTACCATATCAAAAAAAAATTAAGCAATTATAGGAAGACTCAACTATTAAATTACTTACTAATGAAAAATATACCACATCTTCACAGTAACTATGGATTTTAAAACCGCGTGAATCTGAAACGAGATATTGAATTTTAAAATCGCGTGAATCCGAAACGAGATATTGAATTTCAAAATTGCACGAATCTGAATCGTGCGGTTAGATTTTAAAATAGTGTAAATATGAATCGCGATTTTGGATTTTAAAATAGTGTAAATATGAATCGCGATTTTGAATTTTAAAATAGTGTAAATATGAATCGCGATTTTGATTTTAAAACTGTGTGAATATGAATCGTGCGGTTGGATTTTAAAATCGCGCGAATATGAATCGCGATATTGGATTTTAAAATCGTGGTTAGGGATTTTTAAATTGCATGAATATGAATCGCGATTTTAGCAGATTCCGGCAATATTTAAAATTCCCAATATTTAAAATTCTGAAAATCAGCCAAACAAAAGAAATCAAATATCGGTGGTCAGAAACGAAACCCTTAGACTCCTTTCCACTCTATAGCGGAAGTCGCAGTAATCCGACTATCGTTCGGGCGACTTGAGTTCTTTAATTGGACTCCTCAAAAATTTTAGTTTTTGGAACATGGTCGAAAAATTTAAAAATTGGGAGAAAAAAGCGGATTTACGCTTTTTCGCAGAAGTCTTTCATCCCTAAACCATGTTGACCACTTCTTTTTTTTTTTTTTTTTTAAATTTTGTCAATTTGAGTATTTTTACTTCTGCATTTCCACAAGGAATTCAGAATACTAATATTTTAATAAAATGCCATTGCAACATGAGAAATTCAAAAAGCAGACTGAAATTTAAGGCTACTGTTTGTAATATAGTTTTAAATTTTCTGGGTGGGTTTTTAGGAAAAGGAAATGATCAGATTTAAAATTCAGAAAACTTCTAATAGTTCAAGATATATCAGAGGTATTTTAAATTTTAAGCTTAACTATTATGGTTTTGTCTTAATTTCTGTTCAAACCATAAATTTTCTGTAAAAACAATAAATTACAATTTATATTACTAATACACATTCTACTGATTTCATACTTTCATTTAGTAAGTCTTGTAATTCTTTATTTTATTAGAATTTTAAAATGAACTTTCATATATTCAATGGTACAATAAAAACTCTTCCTCCCAGCATATCAATTCTAAGCTTAAAAAAAAGGGAAAAAAACTAATAAAAATTTTAATTACCATAAACTTGTAAAAAATCTCATGTTAGTGTATTTAGACAAGTAAAAAATCTATTCTCCAAAATCCCAAAAAGGAAATTAGTTAACTCTCCAATTAAAAATTAAATAATAAGACTCACATTAATCGGAGGTTGATCTAGACATTCTGTTAAAGGTCCTGATTTTGTAAAATTGTGAAAAAACTATTCCTAATTAGTGAACATAAAATAAGCGTTAAGTCACATTCTTTCAACCAGGTTCCGGCTTTTGTGAATTTTTGCAAATAGTGCCCTGCTATTGCAAAAGTTGCTAAAAACCTTTTCAAGCAATTTTTAAATTATAAATAGATACAAGATTCTGCAAATATTTGGTATTTAGCCTTTACTGCTCAACACAGAATTTTCTTTTCGGACAAATAATGGAAACATAATTGTTCACATTTTTAATTATTTCAATTGACGTGTTTTAAATAACACAACTTAGTAATCACTTTTAATGTGTCACGCATTAAGTAAACTTGAGCAATTCTTAAACTTATTAATTTTATTTAAAAAATTGTCAGAAATTAACTTTTATTTACATAATATTCAATTTAATCAATTTCATGAACATATAAATTGATCAATTGTTTATTTTCAAAAAAAAATTATGATTTAGTATTAATAAGAATGTACACAATATTTGTAAAAGTAGAAATATTTTCTTAGAATACTACATTAGGAATCTAAACTTAGGGAAACTTAGTTTGGCTTATACCACCTTTCTCTTCCCCCCCCCCAGGAAAGGTTTATTTCATTAACAAAACAATAAAGACAAATTTTTTTTCAAAGGGTCCACATTTATGAAAGGATATTTTGTGAAGATTTCTTCTAAAAATGGATAGTTATTTTTGCCAAGATATTAGAGCAGGAAAGTTACTACGCAACATTGAACAAATAGGTTTAAGTTTTAGAGCTTAGGCTTTAGAACATAAATGACACCTTAGGGTTTGTTTTCTTATTGCTCTTTTTTTAAACACTTTTGACCTGCTGCCCAGAAGTTGCAATTATTCTACTACAGAACACCATATAGAAGAAATTCAAGCAAAAAGCTTAAATTAGCTAATGCACTCCACTTTATCAACTTATTTAATGTGTTCTATCTATAAAATATGCAACCAGATAATGATTTGTAAATACTACATAACTGAATCAAAAACAAGGAGTTCCAAGATATTTTTAATCCAAAAATATGAAGTCATTACAGTTTAAATATTAATAGCCTAAAATTAACAGTAAGTATCGTGCTATCAGTTGTTAGAAAAATATTTCAAATTCAGCATGAACTTTTAACTTAACAGAATACTTAACTACCAATAAAATCATAAAAGTAAAAGTTAAGTTTCAATTATTAAGTTTAACAAGCAGCAGAGGAAGTGAAACAACTAACACTGAACTAACTCACAAACCTTAAAAAGTTTGTCATAATTATGGAAATTTCTGATAATAATAACTTAATAACATGTAAGAATAATCTTGATAAGAATTTAATTTTTGTGATACCATTTTCACTCAGTCCAAAAGGATTTAACAATAGAGCTGGCTTAAAAATAAAAAAAAATTGAGGCTAAGCAGGATAATTAAATAGATTTAATCAATTCAACAATGGAACAATATTGTAATATAATAACACCTATAGATCTAATATTTAAAATATATAAATTTTAAAGCTAAAAAGAATTCTCTTTTAAACATACCACCATTTTCTGTTACTTTTTCCTCCTCTACAGCCTCTGCTTCGGAATTATCATGAGCCTCTCCATTTTCTTCTTTTTCAACAACAGAATCGCTGGAATCTGCTTCAGCTTTCACATCATTTTTTTCAACTTCTTCAACCTTTAAAAAGATTATAAGAATTGAATAAAATGTCTCGTGACATAATAGTAAAGCATTAGTGAAAAAAAAATAAACCACTATATATGTGGAAACTAAATACTTTGCTATGAATAGAAATAAAATTTAAGTTTTAATTAATTAGGTTAATATAAACTGCTTATGAAAGTTAATTTATTAAAAGTTCGAATATTCACAACTTTAATTTGAAGTATTCCTTACAAGCATTGCACTAACTACTTTAATAAAAACTAATGACATTCGATTAGTAAAACAAGCGAGACAAGAACAATAAGTAGCTCACCTTTTTGTCTGCTTTAAGGCTTTCTTCGACAGGCGCATCAGTTTTAAGTTCCTTCTTTGGAGATTCTTTAACTTCGGCAGCAACTTCAGCACTGAAAATAAAACGAATCTTGATGATTTAGAATGTTTTAAACTCAGGAACGCTCAGCTCACATAAATATGAAGTAGCATGTGCTACTCAAATAAATATGTGTAGCATATTAATGATATGGCACCTAAAATATTCTATAAGTTTAAATCTAAAATGAAAACAACTATTTGAAAAGATGTTTAACAAAGAAAGAACGACGATGCGGAAAATAAAAATTTAAAATCGAAAACGAGTCTTACCTGCTTGTTCTAGAACGAGTAGCCGGCATTTTAAATTAAGTTAGTTTATAGCTAAATAGCAGAATTAATAAATAGATGAGAATAAGTTAATGCTTCTTGAGATTATGAAGCAATATATTAAATTTAAGTATATCAATAAATAAATATACAAATTAGAAGGAAATTAGTAGAATGCAGCTACGCGCAAACGAAACCGTGCGTGGATTAGAACGAAATGGCGGTAATAGTACCGGCAACAATGTATTTATATAGTATTACCATGTGACTGATTTTAACCAATAAGATGCTAGCATTATCTACCTGTTCCAATGGTGTTGCTTTTACAGTTCCCGCTTTATATTCTACCTTATGCCAGAAATTAGAATGAATCGCTCTTTTTATTAAAAAATAAATAAATGCTACATATTTTTTTTCATGTCTCTTGAACAAATCAAATTATTTGTTTTAAGCAGGGAGAATTATCGAGAAAAATTCGCTCGGTTTTCAATGTTTTTGTATTCAAAATTAATTACATAAATTAATTTAAAAAATAAATTTTGCTTTGAGGGAAATTGCTTTTTGTTGATACAATGAATGTTAATTGTTATACATTTGACGAGTCATTTACATCGAAATATATTAAATTTATGAATTAACAAAAAAATAATAATGAAATTTTTGCTGTTAGAAAAATAAAACGAGATCAATAAGAAAATATAACCATGTGTTGAACTACTTTTTAGGAACAAAAAGTTCTTGCAACCCTGTAATTCGATAACTTCGTTTCAGTTCTTTGTTGTATTGTATGCTATAAGTTAATGTTTTAAATTATCTATGATTCTTAAAATAAAATATTTATCTTGTTTTATTGTATAATTTTCTTGACATTCAAATTATTATAATTCATTGGAGAGTTTTTCTCCCTTCAGAAAGTTGAAAATGTGTTAACGTCAAACTGTAGTGTGAATGGTACAGTTCGTTCCGAATTTTGTGTTGAATCAGTTTTATATTCAGATATTCTATTTATGAACGAATATTTTGATACCACAGTCACACCATTTCGAACTGTTTATAATCAACTTCAAAATTTGGAACTTCTTGTATTTTGCTCAATTTCGCTAATGAATTTCGAATAATTACTTTTGATTTTAAGTAATAATTAAACTAAAGTATTTGGTTTTTCTTACAAAATGAGTGCCTTAAAAGTTTCATTCAGTATTTTAAGAAGTAATGTTTTACGAAAGGCTTCTGTGAGTATAGTTTTCATTTTTACGCGCGTTCGATAAGGTTTATTGTAATTAGCAATGTAAAACGTTGTTAAAAGAAAAATCAAAAACATTTATACTGTTCTAAAACTTGCAAAATGAAAAAAAAAGAGTTAGAAATGACTAAAGGTTTATTCTGTAGAAAGTAAAGTTGCTGTTTCATGATGATATTTACAAAAAAAAATATTTTACTTTCTTTAGTAAATTGTACTAATTATCATACCTAGACTGGGAAATTCCTTTTTGTGATTTTCCTACAGAATTGTTTATTAGAATTATGAATAATCAAAGATTGATATAAATATAAGTTTAAATTAATTTACTTGTGTTATAAAAGTTTAAAACAAGAAAATTTAAAGTGAGGACCAAGGAGCCCATGACAGTTCTATGTCACATTGCATGTGACATAAAAGAATTGGAATTGTCAAAGATTGATATAAATATAAGTTTAAATTAATTTACTTGTTATAAAAGTTTAAAACACTTCATAATGAAACAACAAGTAAATTTAAAGTGGCAACCAGGGAGCCCATGACAGTTCTATGTGACATGCAATAGGCCTTGCCTATTGCATGTGACATAAAAGAATTTGAAAAAAATTCTCTTCCAGGTACAAAAGCTTTACATCTGAAATCCTACATACTATAACTGTGGATGATAGTTATTAGTAGCTGGGCATCTGACAAAATTTTGGAAAAACTGAAGAGCTTTGTCAGCAGTTCATCAGCTGGTTACTTATTTGACCATGATAGACTTTTATTTCTGCTACATTCAATTCATATAAATAAAAACACATAGAAAAAAAAGAATGATAAAAATCAATTTGTACTGCAGACATGTACTTGCAGATTTGGTTATGCTCTAACATGTTTAAATAGAGAGACACAAATTGAAGTATAATGTCAAGGCCAAGATTAACCTAGCAGAATGAGTGTAAAAGTGTGGATATTATTTTTACTGTATAAGTTAGCTAAATGGCAAAGACCTATATTTTTTTTCACTTTAGTGCAGATTCAAAAAGGAACAAATAAATATATAAAATTAGGCAATATAATTACACTTGCAAGAAACAAATTATTATGACAATATAGAAAAAGAAGATTGAAATGTTTAATTATTCCGTAAGTTGACTTTATTACTAGATACTCACAAACAGAATTTGCAATACGAATTGTCACAGTGTCAGGTTGAACTTGTTACAACCTGACACTCTGAAAAAGACTCTGGATTAGCTCATTAGTTTACTGTTTTGTTACAGAACAAAACTAAAAAGAAAAAAAAAACTTTTTTTTTTATCTTTATTAATATCTGATACTGTTATCTTTATTAATATCTGAGACTTTTGTACGACAGTTATGTCTCGTTTGTCATGAGTTGTAATCTTGGTACATTTCTGTTCATTTTTCTTAGTACTTTGAAAAACATTTTGATGGAGACATTTTTCTTATTTGTCACATAATGGATTAGTACTCTTGGGAAAACTCTTTTGTTATTTAATGATGTCATATTCACTAACTATATCAGAGTAAAATTAGTTTGAATAAAAAAAAAAAAGAATTTTGTAAAAGTAAGGATTTTTTTTCCATAAAATAAAAGATCTAAATATTTTTTATTAAACTAACATTTTATTTTTGTAATGTATGTAAATATCTGTGTTATAAATATATGCAATGTATGTAAAAGAAAGTTCTGCAAAATTTAATCTAAACAAATTTTTTTATTTCAAATTTTGCTCAGCTTAACTATTGGTTGTTTTCCAAATAATTTTTAAATTATAAATGCTGAATTTAAACTTTGAAATTAAGAACCCTTTTATACCGGCAGATTTCATCAATGATTGAAACATTTTTTCTTCATTGTTTTTAATTTTTATTTATTTTTTTAAAGAAACCTCTATCGGCGATGACTGCTGTTCGCAAGTTTAATGATGATCAAACGTCACCTAGAGTACCACTTGAAAAAAGTATGATTTATTACCTGTAAATTACTGCTCTTTATTTCTGTATATATCCTGAATAAAGTTTTGCATATATTTAAGATTGTATTTTTTTTAAAAGGTCTCTTTATAAATATGAATGATTGAAGTCTTTGCTATGAAATTTAAAGATTTTTAAACCCTCTTGTAGCTTTTTTTTTACCTACGACAAACTTAGTTTTAGTTAATTAAAGAAACATTTTGTTCCCGCAGGCATTTCTATATTGTAATGCTGAAAATTATTTATGTAAAATAATTTAAAGGTTAATATTTTTTTAGCTCTTTAATAGTACGTAATTTGTTTAGTAAATAATATAAATTCTACTAAAATAAATGATCTCTGTTTTTATTTTTAGTCATTTTTCATTTGGGGGGCTTGTAAAAAAATGCCAAGCTATTATCGATGCCAATGAGATGTAATTAATTGTGGTAATAGGTAATTAATATACTTGGTGCATTTTTTTATAACCTCCTTAAAGGAAACAGTATCTTTTTCTTTTTTTTTTTTACAGATTTAACTTTTGTGTATGCCCAATATTAAAACCCAGGAGTATAAGTTAATCTCATTAGTTTTTATTAGAATGTGGGGAATTTTTGGTATGTCAGGTGAATAGGTCGACCACTGAAAAGAACAAAATATGAGCCTACAAAATTGTCTCAAGCTAAAAAAATTATTTCTCTTAAAAAAAATGCAAAGTTTTCTCCCTTACAATCAATCTTGAAAACGCAATGCATCATATATCCAATGATACTAGACTCGTGGCAAGAATTCAAATTTTAGTATGAAATCTGTTAAAGAAATTTGAATTTCAAATTCTTTGGATAGAGAAGTGCAGGTGATTTTGGAAAACTTATCAGATGAGGTGGAATCCATTGCAGAGAGTATGATGACGCTGCAAACTTTCGGAAACAGACTAAGATAATGTTCTTGAATCTTTAAATTTGTATCTTTATGATTTGTTTTAAAAGTTTTCCTTGAGTTATATTTTTTTAAACACTCTTGAATAAATTATTTTTAACTTTAAATATTCGTAATTTTTTTTCTGAGCGTTATTTCAAGAATTCCAATAAAATATATGTATAAATTATATGTAAAGAAAATAAAAAGTAATTGTATATAACTCATTAAAAATTTGTATTCAGAGTTATGCATATCTATCTCATTGTTTATAGTGCATCAACTTTACATAATCGGAAAATATCCATCTTTATTACCAGTGTATAAGTCAACCTCCTAATTTTCAGAAAATTTTTAGGGCTTTAAAAGTTGTTTTATACATCTGGATACATGGTATTAATGTCTTATTTCGATACTGCGATTATCATTTGTATCTTGAAATTTAATAAACTATTTATCAACTGTGATGAAAAACAATTTTTTCGAATAGGTATAGTTTACTGCCTGATTTCATGATCTAATTAGTTTTTAGCAGTTATTAATTAGTTTAATTCAGTTTTGTTTGTCTTGCAATAATTATAAATAAATCATAGTGTATGAAATTTTAATTGTAACCAAAATTGTTTAAAGTTTTATGTTTTTTCCTCTAAATTGATGGGTATTAATCATTTCCTCTAATTTTATAGGTATTAATCATGTAACTTTGCTTGGAAGAGTGGGCACAAATCCACAAGCTAGAGGATCTGAAGCTAAACCAGTTGTAATTTTTACTTTAGCAACAAATACAAATTACAAGTATGATTCAGGTTTGAACACATTTAAAATATCTCTTAATTTTTCGATATCGTAATAGGTTGCATTATTAATTTTATTCAGTAAATGTGTATTATAGTGCTACTTTGAGGAAAACTCCTCCAGACTAAAAGTCAGGGGTTGTCTGCTGCTATGGTAACAAGCAAGAGCACATCTCTAATGGGGATGAAAAGAAGGTGACAATTGGTTTACTCATACCTACCTATGTCAAGATAAGACAAAACTATTCACCCCATACCTCTATTCGAAGCGACTTTTCATTGTTACCATAGTAACCGCCACGATGCAAGACAGGTGTCTGGAGGAGTTCTCCTGAAAGCCGCACTATAAGTGATCCTGTTTATTTGGAGTCATAAAAAATTTTTACGCTACCATCTATATTTTTATCTGTTACATATCAAAAGTGGTAACAGCTTAGTCAAAGATGTTTTTTTTTAAGAAAACATTAATAAATAGAATTAAAAAGATTTCTGTCTTGATATCCATGCCAAAATAAATGCCAAGCATTGGTAACTTCCTAACAACAGCCCTTGAATAACTAAATAATATCCCGTAAGAGGACCAATTCAAGGTATAACCATAGCCACTTCCTTGGCAAATGTAATTGAGGAAAAAAAATTAATTTTTTATTGGTAAAAATCCTTTTTGTGCCTATTGTAAATCCTATTGTTGTTAGCACAAACAGATACTGGTACGAAAATATTTCCATAGAATACTTTACCCTAAAACATAATCAGAAATTTTAAATGAAAAATTAAATTGGGAAACCTGTTTGTTGTTATCTTTGCGAAATTCTAAATTATGTTAATTTCGCTGCTTGTGTTCAATTCAATGGCACTGTAGAACCGTGGTTATCCAAAGTATATTTGACTAAACCTTCTTCAGATAATCTGCATCTTTTAGCATAAGTCCATAGTTACCCATTTATTAAGTCAAAAGCAAGAGTAATTGTTCTAACCTACCACGAGTCTTGTTAGATGTTTATTGTATTTTAAAAAATTTTAAATATTTTGTTTTTTATTTAAAAATAAAAAAACATTTACATCCTTGCAAAATTATGGTTCATTAATCATTGCTATTTTTAGTATAAATAGAAGAATACACTTGTGTAGAATTATTAGTGTAGAAATTATTTCTTATTTAGGCACAATACCTATGCAATTTTTACAAATCTAAAATTCCAAACAAAGCCAACTTTTATATATCTATACATACAGAGATGCCAACTTGCTCTGCTTTGTAAAGAATTATTTTCTACTGGTAACAAAATTTATTCTTTTACGTTGACACATGGTGTCACTTTTAAAGAGTGGGTGTAGTTATACTTTTTCTACAAATTTTACTATTTAATTTACTGCCAATTTATTAAAACTTTTACAGAAAGTGACGCAGTTGGCATCCCTGTACAAATGCCCTGAGGCGAAGTAATTCTTAGCTTTATGCTGTGGTAGAGCCACCCTAGCATTGAAGTATCGGTTGGATGCTATTTCCTGTTTCTGATTTTCATGTATTTTCCTGTTGTTGTATTCTTTTCAGTATCATATAGGTAATAATTTGTTTTATTTTTTTTCAAATATTCTTCCAGTCGTAACATTAGCAGCTTGGTGCTGCTGTGACTTGAAATTATATATATTTTACTTTTTTTCTTATCAATTTTCATTCCTAATGTATTTTGTATCTTAAATAGAATGTTAAATGTTTGCATTTACATATTTAGTATTTATGTATTTATTGCGTCAATTTTTCATGTTTGCTCTTCAACTGTAATACATAACTTATAATGCTAAGTTTTAAGATTTTTATTTACCAACAAGAATATTGTAATAGATTAAAAATTATTAAATCCTGTGAAAATTTATTCTTAAATTCTTCTCTTTATTCGAATTTTCTGCATGAAAATGTTAATTTTTTTCAAATATGGTTAATAAAATGTGATGTAACATAAATAATTTTCTATTTAGAATATCTTTTATCTTTTTTTTTTCTTATGAAGCTAAATTAAACTTATGAAGAAGAAGAATTTGTTCCAGGGAAATAGCACTTGAAAAAATTTATTGATAAAAATTATTACTATCTTTGGTCCAGTTAATCTACTGTGCAATGATGACATACAATTATATTGAATATCATAAATTGTTTTTAAGAAAAATTAAATGCAATTATTAAAAATGTTAGAAATAGCTCTAAAAGTGGAAAAGTGCATCGGAAAGTCCCACAGGACACCTCTATCCTTTCAGAAATCATAACTTCTACTGTCATGTGTTCATTAGAATATTTTTTACCTTGGAAAGTTGAGGAATTCATGTATTGAATATTGAGTGATTTACATTATTGCAAAGGCTCCATTTTTTAGCCTTATGTATACAAATGTATTGGTGGAAAAGTAAGGGAGAGAAAAAATTAATTGAAAAAATCATCAACCATATTTGGTTTTTGTTTCCTATGCTAATGTGAGGAAATTTCTAAAAATAGATTTTATTCTGAATTTTTTTCAATTCAAAGTTGTGGTGTTAAGAGTTTACCAATTATATTATTTATTAAAAAAGGATTAAAATATCATAATTTAGTTTTTGCATGTTGGGTAATATGCTATGTGTATTCCAGCATGACAAACCCTATTTATTAGGAATGTACCAAGTATCAAAATTGTGATCACAGCATACATTATTCTGAACTAGATAGTATTAATTAGAAACCACAGAGTCAAGTAAAAACATCATAACTTCATAAATATGTGTATTATTTTATGATTAAGTCCTTATTTAACTATACTTATTATTTGCTTGAATATGGGATACACAAATAAATGAAGATAAAGATAATTTTATCAACTACTTTCATATATTTAGTAACATTTTTGTTTCATTTGCTTGTTCTTTATATTCACATTTTAGGTGAATTTCAACAGAAAACAGACTGGCATCGAATTACTGTTTTTAAACCACATCTGAGAGATACTGTTATGGAATACTTAAGAAAAGGGTAATTATTAACTTTTCAAAATATATTCTACTATTGAAATTAGTGATGTTATGAAATAATGTTTTGTTAAACAACCATTTTCTGTTAAGTATCTTTATATGTTAAGGCTTTATTTGTCTGCAATTATTCCAAATATAAATTTTTCAGTCTATAATTTAATTAGAGAAAAAGTTAATTATCCAAGGATCTAACATTAAATTTCAAGGGTAATGTATTTTAATTTTGATTTGTGGTCATTACTGCAAATAAGAGAATATTAAGATCATTGAAGTTTTATTTACTCCAAACACTGTGTACATTACCTTCCGATTTTTTTTAAAGGTTATTTAATTTTAATTGAAATTTGAAAAACACAATATTATTTTTATACTGCATCAACATTATTTACCACAGGCAAAAAACAAATTCCCTATCAGGTTTGAAATTCTTTATTTTAAACTTCGTAGCTTTGTTATTTAGAACTCAACTCAGAAGAGAACTCGTAGATTAAACTTTAGGGCAAACTCTTACATAAAAGTTTTTTTTTTCAACCGACTCACATTTGTGTGTCATTGCACAATTAGCCTGTTGGGAAGAGAATTCAATTCTAACTTGAGACAATGGCGGCATGACACTGAAACTTAACATAGATTTGTTACATAACCACAGGTGCTAGCTGGCAGTAATATGCAAATCAAGCAGTCATCGTCAGGGTTTGAACCTTAGTCTCCACTATGGGAGGCATGTTTTATACCCATAGCCATCTCAAAATTTCACATGTTGTAGTATTGTAAATTACTATGTACGAAAGACAATTTTGATGTTTAAAACGTTTAATTATTAGTAGTTGTTTTGTTTGTTTTTTTTTTGTAATTTTTTTTTCTTTTTTAAATTTAGAACAAGAGTGTATGTTGAAGGTAGAATTTTGTATGGAGAATTCAGTGATACAAGTGGTGTCATTCATTATACTACAACTATTGTGGCTAGTAAGTTTATTTTGATATTATTAAAAATATTGATATGTATATAATACGATGTAATACTTTTTTTTTGTAGTGACTAAAATGATTTTTAGCTTTTGCAATTATTTTACTAAAAGAAAAATGTTTGATTAAAAGTTTGTATTTAAGGCAACTCAATAGGTTTACTCTGTCATTTGAAAGTTAGCCATAAAATAAGTTCATATTTAACCAACTTAGTGTAAGTAGAAGCAATAATTTGGAAAGAAACTTAATACGAAATAAAAGCAATTATACTTGATTTAAAAAGGGGAAGAAAAAAAAACTCCATTTAATGTAAAGGAACTATAGCAAAAAATAAAGCATAATATTTCATTATTTGGAGTAAACAAGAAATCCATGCATTTTTCGAGAGTCAGTATTTCACAAACATCCTATCAATATTGTCAAGATAATTTGCGCAATTTTCATTTAATTTTATGAAATTACAGCAAAATGAGTTTTTTTTTATTTATGTATTATTTTTTTATTTATTTATTTAGCTTAGAATTTTTAGAAAGGATACAAGGATTAAATTTTTGTGTTCAAATTGTTAATTATAAATTTTTTAAAGTTTGTATAAAATACCTATATTGTCGCGACGTTAATATTAGAATGTTAAGTTTATATCAATTTTAAATTTAAAAAATATATAATTTTCATAAAGTTTAGGTGGATGTCCTTAAATTGGTATTTATTGAATAATGTATAATAAAAACATAAATGAGGAAAAAAAATAGAATAAACAAGTGTATCAGGATCGGCAAATGAAGGGCATAATAAATATTAAGAAAACTATCTAAACTATTGCTAATTTACAAGTTGGGTGGAACCCTTTAGATATTTAAAAACAAGTCAATTAAATTAAAGCTGATGCTTCCCACCTGGCAATTCTATGTTAGACTAGTTTACTTATTTATTTATAATCCAGAATATGGCATTAACTCTCTGGTGGAGAGATTTTAAAATTAAACTTTTTTTATTTTTTACTGTCACATTATCAAATTTAAAACATTCTGTTTTAAAGATGTTAAAAGCTGTTTTGGAAAGCTTTTTTAATGAAGTTCTGAGTTCATGACAGTTATAATGCTTCCATTATTCACTTTAACCTGCTCTAATTTTCTGTTATTTAATTGATTCTATAAATTTCTTTTTCATTCTATTCTGCTTATAAGATGGTTGTGAAAAAATAATATGACTGATGTTATATTATACTAATTTTTCAATTATTTTTAAAATTTCAGTTTTATTATTGTATTTGTAGAGTTTAATTTTTTTTATATCAAGATTTAGGAAATCTAAAATGTCTCTTAAGCAGAATTAAATTTAATAATTCTCATTGTGCTTCCCTTTTTTAGATGATGTCATATTCATTAGTGGATCAAAAAAGAGTGAAATAGAAGATGTTGAAGAAAAAGATGAATCATCCATTTAGCTGTTTTCATATACATTTTGTTGACTCAATTTAAGTACTTCTCAATGGAGAAATTTTACATATTTTTTTGTGAAGCTTTGTGTGAAAAGTATCATCACAAAATACCATTTCTAATGTATTATAAATTAATGTATAATAAAATGTTCAAAATTGAGTTTCAATTGTCTTATTAACTGTGATTTATGAGTGTTTTATTGCTTTGTGAATTGAAAATTAATTTTATTCATTACATGAATAGTTTCACACGTAAAATGTGTTCAGAAAATATTGTATTAAAATATTGTATTAAATTTTTTTTTATTCCATTCTTATTTGTGTTACTTACCACACGTCCCAATTGCTATTTAACATATTTAATATTTAAAAAATAAAAATACATTTAGCATGCAAAAACTAATAACAATCGCTGATTGTTTCTTCTACCAATAAAAATATCTATTCCTCTTAAATGTATATATACTGTCCTCTCTTTTTAATTGAAAAAAAAATCAAAGGAAAGAGTGATTAAAAAAAGTTGAATCAACGCAAAAAGCAATTTAGGAATAAAAACTATATTTCGAAAGTAGTAGGCTTAATAGCTCAATATTCGCTAATAAAAAATTAACCTCCAATTAAACTTGTTTTTCATTGCAAATTATTCGTTTTCTTTTCTATAAAAATGCTGAGAAAAATAGTCAAAAGCATTTTAATAACATAATCAGTTTAGATATAGTCTGTAATTTGATTATTTATAATGCATTTAATTTTTTAATTAAAATGCTTTGAAACTTTTGTTCAATATACCACTAATTTTGGTTTAATAAAAATTTGAATTATTTGCAAAATAAAGACTACAATAATGCTTAGAGAAATCTCTTATTTTGAAGAAAATCTGATAAAATAATATCTAGTTATCAGTTTTCAGGTATCTCAAGAAAAAGGATTTCATTTTGTAATTTCATATGGAAACAATATGTTAATTTGTTTATCATAATGAAATGAACAATTGCCTGAATTTTAAAAATAATCAACTGCACTTAAAAACAGGAATTAAACTTGGAAAACAGTATATTATAAGGAAATATAAGAAGTAAGTAATTTTACTCTTTATAACCTTATATCATAAAAACCAACAGTGTAGATTTTAAACTGTTTTTATGTCTTGAAATAAGTTGTCTTTTTAAAAAAAATTTAACATAAATGTTAAGATACATATCTGTTAACATCTAATCTCTTTTTTTTTATTATTATTATTTTTTCGCATTTGAAATCAACTGAATCAAAAAGCTTATTAAATAAAGATTTCATGAGATAAATAAAATCCCATAGTTATGAAAAAATAGCTATTGATTAAAGCAAAAAAAATGTGAGAAAGCATTTAAAATTCCAATATTTTTTTAACCAATTGTAATTATACGGTAAAAAACTCAATTTTACGAATAAAAATGTTCTTTTCAGCGCATTAAATTTCAGTTCTGTTGTTGCATTTCTACAGAGCACTTCACACATTATTTTTCACTATAAGCTAATAATTTTCGCACTAATCATCAAATGGTGAATATTTTTACTCTTTAGTAATGTCAAGTTTCAAAGTACATACTAAACTTTTTACCCAGCAGAACAAAATGTCACCTAAAGTTGAACATCCAAAACAACTGTGACGCTTAAGTTTTTTTTTTTTTAACATTGCAAAAAATTTATATTAATTAGCAAACTATAGATAAGATGTATCTTTTTAAGCTTATTGTCAGTAGGGCTATTTATCTAGATTCAGTTTATCAGTGTCATATATTTTTTAAAGAAAATAATTTCCTTTTAATTTAAATAATATAAATATTGGTTACGATTCAATATGTGAAACTTCAGGAAAATTTGTGGAATTATATAAGTGTGTAGTAGACAATTAGTGAAGTTTCTATTTCTTTATTTAGAAAATTTGAGTAAGTTCTGAATCTGGCTTTAAAATTTCTATAATAAAGTACTAGTTTTTTTTTTTTTTCAAGCTTAAGTTCTGGGTTTTTAGGACAAGCGCCTTATCTGGGCGTCAGCCGGACGTCAACGTCCCGCTGACGCTAACAAAATACTGGTTTGTTAGCTCAAGGCTTGGTTTCTTAGAACTAGCGCCTTATCTGAGCGTCAGCGGAAAGTTGACAGAGCTGACGCCAAAAAAATACTTTTTTGTTAGCTCAGCGTGCGTGAGCAGTCGGTCCAACGCAGACATATCTCATTGTGCATGCGTTAATAACGTAAACAAATATTTATTTCGAATTTGTATTGATTTTGTTATTGTCGACCAGTGTTTTAGATTGGCTGATTTCAATGTGCTGTTGGATGTTGTCCGCCATTGCTTCTGTGGTTAACGTCACGTTGTAATCCAACTGCAGTTGAGTTGGACGGCAATTGTAGTTCAAGATGAGCGTTCGATGACGTATACTATCAAACTCACAAATGGACCAATCAGAGGTTAGCGCTGATT